TGAAGGTGGAGGACTGGCTGGGGTTGAACCTGTTGTGATCCGCTGCAGCACATGGAATGGAATATACTGTCATTCACTGCTTTCCAAATACTTGAAGACAATTTATGCTCCATGCTCTGGAATTATCAGACCAAAGCTGGGATCAAGCCATGGCCTCAGGTCCTTTGTGCTATACAGAAACTGTGTTAGCCCCAGTAAAATCTGTCACCTCACATAACACATGTTGTCCATATTCATTCCTACCTACCAATCCCTGAGGGAAGGATCACCTCAAAAGTGCAAGGAAGTCCATGTGATGTGACTGATCCTATAGGAGCCCACAGGAGTGGGGGAGGGAAAGGAAGAATGTAGAAAGGGATGGAAAGCTTAGACTATTTCGGCTGTGTCTCTCCAGAACTGTCAGCACTTCAGAAATGTAGACTGAGGGCAGGATTTCTAGATGTTCCTAATTTAAGGTGAATGAGATCATAGATGATCCCGTGCCCTATCCTGACTCTGGGCTGCCTCTGCCCCATCCACAGGTGCTGGTGATAGTGGGTACTCACAGCAGGCCTGGCTCTGGCAGTAGGTGGAGGGCACCCACAGGTTGGAGGAGCCAGTGTCAAAGAGGACCAGAAAATTTTGGGGTGGTGTCCCGATGCTGATTTCCCCGAAGTAGTAACTCTGCAAAGACAGGGTTATCACCCTAGTTAGGAAGCCGTGCCTTATCATCAGAATGGGTAAGAAGCTGACCCACCGGAAGCCACGCTTGAGCAAGCCTTTCCCTCGGAGGAATAGGAGGCTACTCCACTAGTTCTCCTTTCCTTTGGGAGACAGCTCCTCTCAGTATTCCCTTTTAGTCCCTAATTGCAGCCTTTGGCCAGCTGACACTTAGTACTCAGTGTGGCAAGACAATATCCTTTTCCAAATGTGTTTTCTACTTTGCAATAAGGTGATACCTCCATGGATTTACTATGCTTGTCAAAGCACACACAATAGGAGACACAATCACTTTTTCTCCTTCCCAGTGTCCATGCCCGCACCTTCACACACACACACACATTCATGCACATTCATCTTCCTTGTCCCCCACTGTTCTAGGCCACCATGGTCCTCCGTCCTGGACACATAGCAGCAAAGGGCGCTACGAAGTCTAGGGTAGAGCGAACATGGAAAACAAGAAGAGAATTCCACTGGGAGATGGTTTAGTTCTAAGTGAACTGGGGCCAGTCATACATATCACATACACCCCTAGTTCCTTTATCTACAAAATGTAGGAGTTGAAATAGGAGATCCTAAGGCGGCTTCCAGCTCTGATGCTCTGGGCACCTTCCCACTAAAGGCAATCCACAGGACACCAATATGTGGAGGTGCCCTGAGCAGACACTGTAGCCTCAAAAGCATTCCAATATTTGCTCTGGGTGCCAGTGTATCTGTGCAAAGGGGGAGATTTACAGTGTCTGCAGCCACTGGAGATTTTGCCTTGCAGCCGTGCATGTGTTTCCCTTCTTTCCCCTGCAGCTCATGCTAGGACTTTATTTGGGTTTCTCAACTGACTTGAACCTTCTTACTATACATCTCTTAACCCTATAAATGGGGCTTGAAGAGATGAGCCAGTAATGAGAGGGGAGGAGGAAGGAAAGGAAACTGCTATTCTAGTAGATGGTGCCTGCTCATAAGTTATTCAGACACTTTCCATAGGGAGGTAGATGGGATTAAAGCAGGGCTATAAGAGGTGTAAATGAGTATCTAAGAAGGGTTACCAGCCTGGGGCTGTGGCCATCACCTCCCCCTTCACTCACATCCAGGTAGTTGGTGATGGGCTCATAAGCAACAGCATCGTTGTTGAAGTGATACTTGGCAGCTGGATCACCCTTTGGGTGGTTCTTGAGGAATGTGTCCAGTACACCCTGTTCATCCATGGCCTCGCGGATAGACTTGCCTTTCCTCAGGATGACTCTGCAGAGAATAGGGTCCACAAAAGGAAAGAGCTTCACTTGCTCCACTAAGGCAAGCCCCTCAATGGTCTGACCTGGAGTTTTCAACCTCTTCAGGACTCTTCTCAACAAGTCTTCTACAGGAAATGCCCCCACATTTTAGCAAGTCTGACCACTGAAGTCATTCCAGTGTGCCCAGCCTGGGAAGACACTACACCACACCACACATTTGGGATTTTTGTGCTTCTATATTGCTTCCAGAAAATAAATATCTTTGTCCTGCCAGTTCCTTCTGTAACGTTGGTGCAGAGACCCTATTTCGTGCCTTCTTAGCCAACAAATCACCCAACCCTCCTTTATACACACACACAGATAATTTTACGTTTCAAGTCTTGGCCCCAGTGGGTTTTCTGTCCATGGCACCAAGAGACAATATGACCGCCTTTCCCAGAGACCTGCAGCAAGCCTTTGCTCTTCCCTAATTATTGTGCTCCTTTAGGACTAGAATTCCTATGCAGCTGAATCCTACACATACCTTTCCAAACCCTCTGAGAGGTGTAGACACACCAAGGCCAAGACCAGGATCTTCATGGTGCTGATCTTCAAGTGCCCACCAACACACAGGATCGGGTGCCAGACACAGGTGTGGAGCACACAGAGGGAGGCTGGGTCTCCCTCTTATACCCTAGTCTCCCTATACTTTGCATCTCTAGGCATGTGGGCTTTTCTACCTTTGTACCAGCTTGTGCCTCTACATATCCATGGATTCTGTTTGTTGTTCCCTCTGGCAGGCATGGGGGACTTTGATATCCAGACTGTGGTCAATTTAAACAGCAATTAATGGCTTTGCTGATGGGATCTAGAGATTAGGATGTGATAATGATGTTAAAATGTGCTGGGGCAAAGGATTCTCGTGCCAGTGTATACTGGGAAATAGGTGCCAGCAACTTCTACCAGAACAATGGAACGATTTGTTCTTTGGCTCTGAAAGACGAGCTGCTTTTCTGAGATTTATGTCTACTCTCTACTTCTTTTCCCACTCTTTCTATGATCAGTCTCATCTGTCGCCTTCCACATATGACTCTCACCATCCATAATACTCTGCTTTTTATTTTCAGTTTCTCATTTCACTAATTAGCCGGTATTTATTGGATGCCTACTCCTGCTCACCTTCATAGTAAGCTCTGGGAGTACAAAGATAGTTAAGAAGTGGTCCTTTTGTGCAAAAATCTGCATTTTGCTGGAATAACTAACATGTGATCAAATTATGAGGTGAAGTGATCATTCTAGGCATTGAGATGTGTTGAATGAATGAGAGTGATAATAACAGTATTTATAAGGCAAACAGAAAGAGGGAGTGATTGTTCTTGGTGGGATGGAATAGGCTTCACAGAAGAAGAAACATCTGAGTGAGGATCTTGCCCCACACTAGATGAGAGGAATAAAAGAAAAGGGAAACCCACTGTAGCAGAAGAAAGGCTTGAACAGTAGCAGAAATGTGTGAAGTTGTGTGATGAATACTGTGTCAATGTGGACAGCAGAGCAATTCCCAGCATGGTTCCTCACCAGCCAAAACTCATCCTAGGACCTGCACTGGATGTGCACAATTCTCAACGTGCTGATTGTATCCTGGAAACTATTTTCTACTCAAAGAACTGTAGCCAGGCAGCTGGCCAGGTCTCTCTCTACACACCAGGTGAAACTTCAACCTGGACAGGGGAGTATTCTTGACTGTGAATGAGAATTAATTCTCGAGGAAGTTGGAAGAGTGTAGGTAAGGAAGGAATTCATTAAAGAGAGAGTAGCAGGGAATAACAGCTGCCTTGAAAGCATCAGAGAGCAAGCAATTGCAGAGGGAGGAAAGGGAAGTTCATTGAACTCCTGCTCAATATGGGAAAGATCCCTTGCCAAACTCCTACAGCCAGGGTCACCTGGCATCCAGTGTCCCCTTGAATCTGCCTGGCATGGCAACTAAGCCCCTACCACTCCAGGACTTGGGGGAACTGCAGAGCACTGGATGAAGTGAGATCATGTAATGAGAACTTCCCAAAGGCAAAGGAAGGAGACTCTCAGGCAGGCTATTAAAGGTCATGATCGTGTAGCTGATGCCCTGCCTGGATCACCTGGATGTCAGAAACTTGCAAACCCAAGTCAGAGCTCTCAGTAGCCCCTCCCTACTTGTACAAAGAAAGACAAAGGGAGTGAAGACTTATGCTTAAGTGTGGAAAATAGAATGAAATAGCAAAGTGACAAAGACACAACACTGGAAGAGCATAGAGATGAAAAGCAGTAAGTTGAACAGTGAGAAGGCCTTATTTTAAAGGTACACATTCAAAGAAAGGGGAGTGTGGACAACCTCAGAGAGGAGGCAGACTTAAGGGCTTAGGATTCTGTCTTTTAAGGCTTTCAAGAATGGGGCAAAGGGCAGTAGGGCATAGGCTTCATATGTGGTCTCATGATATCTCTCTCTAATGAGAGACATTATATCTTATGAGACATAAGATAAACTTAACACAAGGATTTTACTGATCCTGTTCTTCTCAAAGATAGTGATTTCCCTCAGGCACTGGGAACATATCAGTTAGTACTGCTTGCCCTGCCTTAAGATAGGGTGGATTATTGTTTGATTACCAAAGATTATGTTTAGCACCTAACTCCCTGGTTTTTAAAATGGAATTTTAGCCTTAAGATGGAGTCCCTCCTATTCTTACTACACTGTTTATTGATTTATTATATTTTCATTTTTCACTTCTGGAATTTTCTTCATGTGCTTTCATGAATTTAAAAAATTTTTTCTATTAAGGTATTATTGATATACACTCTTATGAAGGTTTCACATGAAAAAACAATGTGGTTAATACATTTACCTATATTATCAAGTCCCCACCCATACCCCAATGCAGTCACTGTCCATCAGTACAGCAAGATGCCACAGATCCACTATTTGCCTTCTCTCTGCTCACTGTTCTCCCTGTGATCCCCCGCACCATGAGTACTAAACATAATACCCCTCAGTCCCCTTCTCCCTCCCTCCTCACGCACCTTCTCACACTCCTCCCCTGTGGTAACCACTAGTTCCTTCTTGGAGTTTCTGAGTCAGCTGCTATTTTGTTCCTTCAGTTTTGCTTCGTTGTTGTACTCCACAAATGAGGGAAGTCATTTGGCACTTGTCTTTCTCTGCCTGGTTTATTTCACTGAGCATAATGTCCTCCATCTCCATTCATGTTGTTGAAAATGGTAGGATTTGTTTCTTTCTTATGGATGAATAGTATTCCATTGTGTATACGTAACACTTCTTCTTTATCCATTCATCTACTGATGGACACTTGGGTTGCTTCTATATCTTGGCTACTGTAAAAAAGGAGTGCATATGTCTTTTTGAATCTGAGAAGTTGTATTCTTTGGGTAAATTCCAAGGAGTGGGATTTCCAGTTCAAACGGTATTTCTATTTCTAGTTTTTTGAGGAACCTCCATATTGCTTTCCACAATGGTTGAACTAGCTTACATTCCCACCAGCAGGTAGGAGGGTTCTCCTTTCTCCGCATTCTCACCAGCATTTGCTGTTCTTAGTCTTTTCTATGCTGGCCATCCTTACTGGTGTGAGGTGATATCTCATTGTGGTATTTCCCTGCTGATTAGTGATGTGGAGCATCTTTTCATGTGTCTGCTGGCCATCTGAATTTCTTCTTTGTAGAACTGTCTCTTCATATCCTCTACCCATTTGTTAATCTGGTTATTTGCTTTTTGGATGTTGAGGCATGTAACTTCTTTACATATTTTGGATGTTAACCCCTTGTTGGATATATCATTTACAAATATATTCTCCCATACTGTAGGATGCCTTTTTGTTCTGTTGATAGTGTCCTTTGCCATACAGAAACTTTTTAGTTTGATGAAGTGCCATGAGTTCATTTTTGCTTTTGTTTCCCTTGCTCAAGGAGATGTGTTCAGGAAGAAGTTACTCATGCTTATATTCAGGAGATTTTTGCCTATGTTGTCTTCTAAGAGTTTTATGGTTTCATGACTTACTTTCTGGTCCTTGATCCATTTTGAGTTTACATTTGTGTATGGGTTAAATAATAATCCAGTTTCATTCTCTTGCATGTAGCTGTCCAGTTTTGCCAACACCAGCTGTTCAAGGGGCTTTAATTTCCCCATTGGATGTCCATGGCTCCTTTATCATAGAGTAACTGACCATATATGGTTGGGTTTATATCTGGGCTCTCTAGTCTGTTCCATTGGTCTATGGATCTGTTCTTGTGCCAGTACCAAATTTTTTTATTACTGTGGCTTTGCAGTAGAGCTTGAAGTTGGGGAGTATAACTCCCCCTGCTTTATTCTTCCTTCTCAGGATTGTATTACCTATTTGGAGTCTTTTGTGGTTCCATATGAATTTTAGAATGATTTACTCTAGTTCATTGAAAAATGCTGTAGGTATTTTGATAGTGATTGCATTAAATCTGTAGATTGCTTTAGGCAGGATGGCCATTTTGACAATATTAATTCTTCCTCCCCAAGAACATGGAATGAATTTCCATTTATTAGTGTCCTCCTTAATTTCTCTTAAGAGTGTCTTGTAGTTCTCTGGGTATAGGTTTTTCACTTCCTTGGTTAGGTTTATTCCTAGGTATTTTATTCATTTTGATGCAATTGTGAATGGAATTGTTTTCCTGATATCTCTTTCTGCTAGTTCATCATTAGTGTATAGGAATGCAATAGATTTCTGTGTATTAATTTTGTATCCCACAACTTTGATGGATTCAGATATTAGATCTAGAAGTTTTGGAGTAGACTCTTTAGGGTGTTTTAGGTACAATATCATGTCATCTTCAAACAGGGACAGTTTGACTTCTTCTTACCTATCTGAATGCCTTTTATTTCTTTGTGTGGTCTTATTACAATGGCAAGGACCTCCAGGTCTGTGTTGAGTAAACGTGGAGAGAGTGGGCATCACTGTCTTGCTCCTGATATTAAAGGAAAGGCTTTCAGCTTCTTGCTGTTAAGTATAATGTTGGCTATGGGTTTGTCATATATGGCGTTTATTATGTTGAGGTACTAGCCCTCTATACCTATTTCGTTTTGACTTTTTATCATGAATGGATGTTGAATTTTGTCAAATACTTTTTCGGCATCTATAAAGATGATCATGTGGTTTTTGTCCTTCTTTTTGTTGATGTAGTGGATTATGTTGATGGATTTTTGGATGTTGTACTATCCTTGCATCCCTGGGATGAATCCCATTTGATCATGATGGATGATCTTTTTTGTGTATTTTTAAATTCTGTTTGCTAATATTTTGTTGAGTATTTTTGCATCTATGTTCATCAGGGACATTGGTCTGTAATTTTCTTTTTTTGTGGTATCTTTGCCTGGTTTGGGTATTAGAGTGATGTTGGCCTCATAGAATGAGTTTGAGAGTATTCCCTCCTCTTCTTCTTTTTGAAAAACTTTAAGGAGGATGGGTATTAAGTTTTCACTAAATGTTTGATAAAATTCAGCATTGAAACCATCTGGTCCAGAAGTTTGGTTCTTGGGTAGTTTTTTGATTACCAGTTCAATTTCTTTGCTGGTAATTGGTCTGTTCAGATTTTCTGTTTCTTTCTGAGTCAGCCTTGGAAGGTTGTATTTTTCTGGGAAGTTGTCCATTTCTACTAGGTTATCCATTTGTTACCATGTAATTTTTCATGGTGTTTTCACATAAT